ATCATGGCTATTGGGACATTAGCAATGTGTTACAACAATGTTGAAGTTTTCAGGGGAGTTGTAAAGATGAGACGAGGTATGATGTAATTACATTAGATGCACCAGTTGTCCAGTTGGTACTTCATATATGGGCTCACCCCTATAACATTCACAAGTTTATAACTGCTTTTAGTTCTCTTTTTATTTTCCGTGTTTCTATGAGATAAAACTTGACTATTGTACAAGATTATCAGGTTGGCCCCTATATAAAACTAATCAGACCAATTTGTACTCTTTTCTTTAAGTATAGCATGTGGGACTTCAAATCTCTACAAGATATTATATATGCTTTGCTACATCATGTTGGCAATATTAGTTGCCGCTCAAGAGCAATGATTTATGTAGACTGTATCTTTTTAGTCTGGCTGTGGATCTGGATATTCAGATACCGAATGTTAACATGACTCGCTGTCTAGCACTTTGTATCGAGCTATCGGGCAAACAGTTTGTTACAGAATGCGGCCTTATATTTATTGAAAATGGATTCCATTTCAACTGTTTAGAGGAACCTAATTATCTTAAAACAAGTTTCATTTTTGTTTTGGTTTCTGTGCTACTATTAGATGTATTTTCATGGAAATGGAATGAATTATTGCTCTTTTAATTTCATTGTCAGATTTGAGAATTTTGTCTCCTTCTTAGGAGAAATATAGTGTTTCCTTGATCTATTCTGTTTTTATAGTGTGAATATGGGAACATAGTGTTGTGATCATTATATTTTATTTTGCCTTCTAGGTCTTACCGCTAAGGTCATTGATCGGACCAAGACCATGGCTGATGTCTATGGTGCCTTTTTTGACTTTTCTTGTATGCTAAAATCAAAGGTATGCGGCTTTACTACAATACTACTATGCTTCTGTAAGAAGGTCGAGACAGGTTGGGCATTAAACTTATCCATCACTTGATTTTGCATGAATATTTAATGCCAACTGATTTTAGAGAAATTTATACCACAAAATTCATGGCACCAACCCTCGAATAGTTGGGATTAAGGCTATAACAGTGCTTTCTAAAATCAATGGTATGAAACATTGGCACTTTTCCATAGAGAAGCAGCTTTTGAGAGCCTCTTTAGTAAGGCTTAAAATGGCTTAGGTGCCTGAATCTGCTTAAATGGCTGAAGTTATGGCTGAATTAGCTGGCTCTCCTGAATCAAAAAAATATATTTCAAATATGTATTTTGATAAATATCTCATCATTGGCAACTTCAAGAACTTCAACCGAAAAAGTACATCCAACCTTTCCTTTTCTCATTATTAACCAATTCAGTGTGGGGTCAAAGAACTAGTGTTTGGTGTAAATGAGCCAAAAATGTGGCTACCAAACAGTCACAGAATGTGCTTAGTCCTGAAAGTTAACAGTTTTCTTACTAGGACTACCGATATCTGCTTGAACACACATGTAATTCTAGCACTTCTAATTTGATGGACGTAAAGCCTTTCTTTGGTTAGGAAGAAATATGGAGTGATGTTACTGATGTAAGGGGGAGAGAAACAAGAGAGTAATGTAACATTTTTCTTCTTTTGTTAGGAGACAAGTTGAGATGATGGATCTTACCCCTCACTTTATTTGTTCACCCTCATTGAGTGAAAAAAGAGAGAAAATGCATTCCTCCTCAATTTTTAATCATTGATTCTCCACATCTCTCCCAACAAACAACACACAAATATACTATTTTTCTCTCTTCACAATCTCTTTGTCACCATTTCTCATTCCCACATATTTCTCTCGTCTCTATATCTTCCCTAAATCAAACAAAGGCAAAATGATGAATGGTCTTGTTTCAGTTGGAAGGTACAAATATTCTTGGGTCTTGGGAAGAAGTGTGAAAAAAATATATGGTCATTTGAGTCATGTTCATTTTTCTGAATTTCCTGTCATTTAAATTTTCATAAACAAGATTGTCACTCCTCAAAATTATCATCCTTTGTGATATCTGTAGGTTGACAACAATGATCCTAGCGCAACCAAAACTGTGAAGAGGCTTGAAGCAATTTTGAAGACTTGCAGAGAGTCTGGAACCTTAAATAAGAGGTTGGTGGCACATAATATAACCCACTTCCTTTACCCAACATATTTTACCTCTATGAAATGATGCTTTTGTGTATCTTCAGGGGATCTTACATTCTGAGGAGCGAGCCCAATCACTCTCTAGCCTTGGTGAGCATTTGCGTTCAATAATGAATACCTTTGTTTTCTAACCCCTTCATGCAACGCAACATCTTCATTGGCTTTGGTTTTGTATTGTAGATTGTCCTTTTCATCATTCTGGCTGTTATTGCATACCATTTTGGAAGACTTCCTAATTCTGTGTGTAAGCTTCTGGAACCGACAACTATTTTTTTTATATGCATTAAGTCCTTTTTCCGGCTGTTCCTCATAATAATTCTACAATTTCAGAACTGATGTTATTTGGAGGTAAAGTGGCATGTTGTATCGAGCTCTCTTTTTTCCCCATATAAAAATATCCGTCCATAGTATTCTGTAATATGTCAAGCACGAAATCCGCATCCAGGACATAGCCATCAGCTGCAGAAAAGCAGCAGAAGACAGAAGCATGTTCCTCGGTTTCTTGAAGTACGTTTTCGCTCAGGAAAAATGTTTCATGAGCTTGTTTTTTTTCTGCCTTTTATTAGTACGTAGTACTCCGTATATTATTGTCACAAAATGTAAAGCGGCATGCTATAGGTGTGACAAATGAATACTCGAACACAACGTAAGAGTGAGGTTTATCATTGTGCTCTGTTTGTGTAAGGTTTCTATAGAATGATGATGATACAATGCTTAGTGTTGCTGGTTTTCATTTTTCTTTTGTTCGTTTTGTTTTGGATGGCCAGTCTCTTTGTTGGCGCACTCACAGCATTATGGTTGTAGAAGTTTTTCTTATACTTATACTGCAATATGTCCATTTTTTAGAGCTCTTTTCATTTATTTTTACAATTTTTTCTCGTTCCCATTAAAGGTTTGCAACCAACTCTCTTAAGAAATTAGTGCAAGACGAGTGGCACATAGGTCTGGCAAATCGGTTGGTCAGGTCGGATTCAGGTTCGATCACTTTGAATTCGGGGTACATGCTTACATCGAGTTCACGAAAATTCGGATCCGGATTGAGAACTACATCTTCATGGTCCAATGTCATCGGATTTGGATCAACCCAACGGGTTATGAGATTTATTTTAAAAGTTTTTTCAAAATTCATACTAGAACTTGCATTTTGCACAAAAATAATAATAGAGTATCAAAATACATATATTAAACCTCTTAGAATAGTTATTTTAATTTTAAATTCCTTTTTAGATATGTTTAACAGTGTAATGAATAGTAAAAAAAATTAAAAATGCATCACTTTTGAAAAAATGTAAGATAATTATGTGATATCTTTAACAATTTGTATCAAAATATACTTTGTACACTAAAATGAGTGATAAAAAATCAAAACACAATCTTATTTTTATTACATTATTTTCCATAATAAAATACATAATTTTGAAAACTTCTTACACTATCGCGTCGCTCAGGTTGGGTCAAGTTCGATTGAGATTTACTGATTTTTAGCTGGTCAATTTGAGTTCGATCATCTTTGAGTTTGGTCAACAAAACTTTTATTCCAAATCCAGTATTTTCAGGTCGAATCTTAGATAAAGAACGAACCGGGTCAGTTTTTGACAGGTTTAGTGCTAGATGAATTCTAAAGCCTCTTGATATTCTTCTATATTATATTTTATGTAGGAAAGAGGAGTCATTGAGAAGAAAAGAGGAGTCACTCATAAGAAATTGATAAAATAAGGAGAGATGAAGAATGTGTTTGTTCTTATGTATCATTTACTATTTTCATATGTATCATTTTTTGTTAATTTATATATAATAAAATTTATTATTATTATTATTATTATTATTATTATTATTATTATTATTATTATTATTATTATTATTATTATTATTATTATTATTATTATTATTATCAGAGAAAACATTAGCTTATAACTTCTTAAATTAAACCTATACTCTTACAACAATTTCTTAAACCACCACACCCACCCCTAGCTACATTTATCGTTATGATGTTGATGTGAGTTTTTATTTTTGGTTTTCAAATGTTATTTCTTGCTTTTATATTTCTCTAGGATATCGTGCTAAAAATTCAATTTCTCATGATTTTTATCTTCAATCATTAAAAATGGTAGTGGATATGGATAACATTTTGGACATTCATCGATCAAGGTAGTTTCCCTGTATATTATCTTAGGTTTTTATCATTATTCTTCTTTACATATCATTCTACACATTTTCCATATGAAAGTATTTTAAACTTATGGAAGGTTGTTATTAAATAATGAGGAAATTTTATTATTAAATATAAGAAAGTACAATATGCAACTAAATAAGGTTTTTAAAAAACTCCATCTTCGAAACATGTTCTTCGAAAATCTTAGGAGGGAGACTTTTAGTCATCGGATCCGCAAGCATATTCTTAGTACTTACTCCCTCCGTCCTAAAACTTTCTTCTCATTGCGCAAAACGAAGAAAAATACCAAGTTTTTTCAATCTATTTTATTTAAATATTGGTATAGATATAAAAAATAAAACATACATATTTAAAAACTACGAAGTACATCAAAAGTTCAACAAAACAAGTGGTGACAAGAATATTTTATTTTATCATATAGGCCATGAAAAAACACAAATAAATATAAATTTCCGTGAGGTTGGAAAAATGCTCTAGGAAGAAAATTTTAGGACGGAGGGAGTATATGCTTAATACAAAGTTTATTTTCCTCAACTCGCTCACGTACGAACAAGTACTTTGTATCAAGATAAAAAGGAGTGCCAGTCGATGACTAAAGGTCTTAGATGATGTATATTTAAAAATGTAAAGAATGAAGGTTTGAAGCCCGTGTTTGAAGCTCCGGTGCTTCAAACTTATTTCCACTGAATCTGTAAGGTAAGTTAAAGTTGACATAGTAGAGAGAAATTTTGAAGCCCCAAAGCTTCACGGGTATTTTGAGTGCCCACATATTTATGTTTAACCAATCTTTGGTGGCTGCATTAATAACTTCCGATAACAAGGAAAACGTGAAAGGAAAATTAATCGGTTTCCGGCTTTCCGCCTCTCTCTCTCTCTCTGAAATCAACCGTATCTGCGCCTATTCACACACACGCATCACTGTTTATCTCGGTAGAGTCGGAAGCTCGGCCAGCAGTCGGCAATGGCGATTGCAGCTGCCGCTATTATCGTACCGCTGGGCGTTCTCTTCTTCATTTCTGGTCTCTTCACCAATCTCGTTCAGGTGATTACCTTTGCACACAACGATTGAGTCTATTTAACCGGTTTTGACTTTTGGTGTTACATGTTCTGATTCAAGACATTGCAAATCTGTGCAATTTGAATTGTTTGTAATTATTCTCAGTAATGATTCGCGGAGTGATTGGGATCGGTTGTTTTTGGGGTTTTAAATAAGATCATATTACATTCTAGACTTATAGGTCCGTAGTGCTTCTTAAGATGACGCATATATTTTAGTCACCGATTTCCTGAGTAAAGACGAAGCTCCACAACGTGTCAGTGTATATTTGTGATAATCAAATCATTTCTCTAGCATTTTCACCTCAGGCTTCATGATGCTTGCTTAATTCCTTTCCTAATTGGGACAAATGTATATGTAACAATATTGTTTTACTTAATAATGCTCTATTTTAATCTTGGATATAATTGCCAGGCTATTTGCTTTGTCCTTATCCGGCCATTGTCAAAGAACACATACAGGAGGATTAACAGGGTGGTTGCAGAACTTCTGTGGCTTGAGCTTGTGTGGCTTGTTGATTGGTGGGCGGGTATTAAGGTAGTGATTGAATTGTCACACTCTTTTCTTTGCTAATGATACATGGAAGTATGCCACAGCTGAACCGTGCTGTGCCACTTTTGGGTGGAAAATATTAAAATTTAAATCTGTGTAGTCAAGTCACAACCTGTACTCATAATTTGTTTTCCCTTTTGTATACATTGTGTCCTTTAGGATTAGTAGTTTTTTAGACACTGTTCACCCTTCTTTTCCCTCTCCTCCCCTTCAACCAATCACACTCTTAAATGTTTTTCGGTGCAACTACAAACAACAGATACAACCCGAGCTTATTCATTATCACTGAGGTTATTCACCGATCAAACTTTAGATAAATTTACTTGTGATGGTAACAAAATGTTATATTGATTATCATTTTATCTTCATTCTTCTCCATGTTCATAAATGGTCAACCCTGTTCCTGATTTTTGAAATATTGTTGTTACAGATTACATTATTCACAGAACCCGAGGCACTAAAACTGATGGGTACGCTTTTCTATTTGTTTACTATGGGACATTATTTATGCATAAAGCATCCATATTCTTTGGTGAGTGATTTTTTATGCCATGTTCTATTAACTTTTCCAGGTAAAGAACATGCCCTTGTAATATCAAATCACAAAAGTGACATAGATTGGCTGGTTGGATGGGTGTTAGCTCAGGTTTGGTCTGTAGTTTTTATTTTTAAGTTAATATGTGCATTTACATTGTGAAGAAATGTATACAATTATTATATTTTTTGTAAGTGTATCGATGTGAATGTGTATGCAGACTATGCGCTGGAATATAAATATATGCTCATATATGCACCCTCTGTTATTTAATACCCTATCAAATTTGATGGATCTTTAGCTGATCTTGGTCCTTGGCTCTACCAATTGCAGCGATCAGGTTGCCTTGGTAGCTCATTAGCTGTAATGAAGAAGTCATCAAAACTCCTTCCTGTAAGTTTTTCACTCAGCTTATCCATACTGTAAATTAGGTGCAGCGAAGCTCTCTCTATATATACTCCCTCTGACCCATACTTATGTTCTTGTATGAAATTGACACGATTTTTAATGAAGTAGAACTTGTATAGTTGTGGTTTATGTAGAGAAAAGATAAATAATATGGACCACACAATTTTTTCCTTAAAATGAAAGTTGAAGAAAATTTTATGACAACCCAAATAGGATAGTTGTAAGATAATTATGGGACAAAGGGATTAGATTAATTCTTATTATTTGAAAGTCATAACTTTTGAGTTCAACAGTGCATGTGAGCATGCAGCTATGATCTATCAAGATACAGTCCTACCATATCTTAGGTTGCAAACTTGCAATATATGCATCTTTGATTGATGCATCTTAGAATAAATGTATAGTTTTTGTTGTTTTTTCCTCATGTCACACTTAAGGGGGGTCAGGGGGTGTATTCAACATGGAGTCTTTTGGATTTTTTTGTATTGTAAAACTCCATGGGTATTCAATTAAGAATTTAAAAAATCATTTAAAATCTAAATGTATTCAATAATGATTTTAAAAAATCACTTAAAATCTAAATGTATTCAATAATGATTTTAAAAAATCATTTAAAATCTACGTGTATTCAAATAGGACTTTAAAATGTCTCTCTAAATCTAAAGGTATTAAAAATTTTGGATTTTGAAAGAGTTTCATAAATGATGGATTCTAATGGATTCTCGAGTGCTTCTAATAAATAGAAATATCAGAACAAATCTTCTGTCGCACCTAGAGATTTTGAAGTTGATGGACACAGAAACTTATACCTTTGGGATCTCCTGTCGATTGAAGGAGCCGCCGCTGCCGCCGGGAAGAACCCAATCTGTTTTTAGGTGCAACTTCAACCTCTTTTCTCTCGTCAGAACAAATCTGCCGGCTTCTACATTCCACGCTGCAGAATCCTAGATTTCCTTTATAATTGCAAAAATCAAAGATCCGCTAATCAAATTAAATGAATTTATAAGTTAATTAACTTGACCAAAGGAAACAAGATCTGAGAAGAAGAAGAAAAGGTGGGAGGTTTTGATGTGGGAGTTGTTTGATCGATTGAATATCAATGGCGTCCCTCAAAGAGGCACTGCACGTGGGTGGAGGGAGAGGAAAGGGGTTGAAATTTTTTATTTTAATTAGAGGAATCTATGAGTTTTTTAGAATCTAATCAAATCAAATAATAAAATACATTAAAATCTATTAAAATCTATATAAAATTAAAATAATCCATGGAGTATACATAATCCATTGATTCTAAAACTTATGTCATAATCTTTTAAACTCCAAATTGAATACACCCTCCTAAGGATCACACATCACAGTTCATCGGTGGTGCACTCGGAACAATCCTCTTTACTCTTTGGAGTAAAGGTAAAGTCTGTGTACATCTTTCCCTTGATGCCCTGATCTCTGGTGGGATAAATTTGGTTTGTTGGTTGATGCATCCTATAGATGGATGAAGTTGTAATTGTTCATATTTATTCCGTTTAGTAAAATGAAACTCTGTTATTTCTTTTATTTTTGTTTGATTGTTCAACTGATTTGCTGACAGCATTTTGGTCCTGTTTTCTTTTAAAGAATTAACTTATCAAGGCCCTGTTTGACAAAAATGAGTTGATAGGCTAAGGTGAGCTAATATGTGAGAAACTCAAGCTAGCTGTTTTTGACATTAGGGGTTGGAACTGGCTGATAAGCTAGCTTTGATCATTGATATACAAAAATGGCACATGAAAACATGTTTAAATTAAATTTCTTAAAGAGAAGTTGAAAAATAAAATAATACTTCATAAATGAAATGGTCATGTAGTTTATTTGAAAAGTTGTAAGAAGCTTCTATAACAAGTTTGAGCTTAACAAATAAGTTCCCAAACCAAGCAAAGCTAATTAATGGTTCATCCAAGAAATCTAACTAGCTTATTGTATGCCAAACATAGTTTTAGAAGTCTAGTAAAATGTCCAAATAAATACTTTGTAAACTTTTGCAGGTAATTGGATGGTCCATGTGGTTTTCCGAGTATCTTTACCTTGAAAGAAGTTGGGCTAGGGATGAAAACACTTTAAAGGTAAGCCTGTAATGTGAGGTGCACACATTTGTACGCAATTTATATGCTATATACACAGAACTTGGTTTTGATTTAGACTGGAGCGTTGATTTAGTTGAAATTGCGGGATCTTAATGCAGTCAGGTCTTCAAAGGTTACATGATTATCCACTCCCTTTTTGGCTGGCACTTTTTGTTGAAGGCACTCGCTTTACACAGGCAAAGCTTTTAGCTGCCCAAGAATATGCTGCTTCAGCAGGTTTACCTATTCCAAGGAATGTTTTAATTCCTCGTACTAAGGTGAATGCTGTATTTTACCTTATCTGAAGAAGATTTTGTCTATTTTGATATATTGTCTATGTAAACATGAGTTTTATCACTTAACGGTGTCATGGATTCGTACACACACATCCCTCTTTAGTCTATTAACAAGTTTATGGTGATCAAAAGATAGCTTAAAACCCATAGTAAAATGCTCTATGAATTACTTTGCAAATTCCAAATTTCCATTTTGCGAGTCGCGAAAAGTATCTCTCTTTACATTTGCATCCTGATACATGACAATCTTATTTAATTGTCCACTATTATTAATTTTTCATAGTGATCGGTTTTGTTTAGAGGTAGCAAACAAGTCGGTCAGGTAAGGTTTTAGTTTCGAGATCGGTACTATCAGATTTGGGTTGAGAAATGTTTGTTCAAGACATAGTGTGTTTGAGTTTGGGTCCACCCAATAGATTTGGAGGTTTATGCATTTATCTTTAAAATATTTACTCCCTTCATCCTTTAACTAAGCTCCCATTGCATATAATGATGCTTGACTGGATTTATTTTCAACTCAATTTATTTAAAACTTATATATTCAAAACTACATCTAATGTCCTATGAAAAGAGGTGACATTACTATGTTATTTAACAAATGATTAACGAAATAAGTTAAGAAAGAAGAAAAAGGTTGACCTATGAATAGTGTGTTGAGACTTTAGTTTTAGAATGGAGGGAGTTTAATTATACCAAAACACAACAACCAAGTAGAGTCCCACAAGAGTAAGGTGTGGTGAGGCTGTGTGTACGTAGACCTTACCCCTACTCGAAAGTAGGGAGGTTGTTTTCAAATGAGACCCCATCTCAAGAAAATATGTAAAGCGCAAAAGGCAAAGAGCATGCCAAAGTAAGCACCTAGCAAGTAGCAAGTAAGGGGATACACAATGAAAGAAACACACAGATACAAAAAGCACTCCACAAGAAGCACACATTAAGAAGTGCAGAAAAGTACTAGGTTCTAAAGCATACTCAGCTATAGCAGTCCTAACTGTCCACATACTCCTATCTAAACTCATATCCTCGGTATGACCCAAAAGTCTTAGGTCATGCCTAATCAACTCCTTCCAATTCTTCTAGGTCTACTCCTTCCTATATTCTTCCCCTCCAAAATAAGCCTCGAAGAACTTTGCACCAGAGCCTTAGTATTGTGCGCATCATGTGTCCAAACCACCATTACCTGCTCTCTCTCAACTTATCCTCCACAGGTGTCACTCCCACTCATCCCTTGATAACCTCATTTTGAATCTATTCCAATCTCGTCTGCCAACACATCCCTGTACCATCTCCATCTCTGCAACATGTAGTTTACTAACGTGGGTTTACATTACGGTCCAGCACTCTGCACTATAGAGTATCACTCGTCTAACAACTTATAGATAGAACTCCTCTTTCATCCTTCCTATCATAGAGAACCCTTAAAGCCAGCCTCCACTTAGGTCAAGCAGCTGCAATACAGTGAGCAACATCCCCATCTATCCCCCATTAGCCTGATTGATCGAATCAAGGTACCAAAACTTATCCCTTTTACGCACCTAGTGGGAATGAATCTCAACCTCCACACGCGGTTCCTTCACTCGGCCACTAAAGAAACTTTCCATGCATTCAATCTTAGTCCCGCTCAAATCTAAAGCCTTCGGGTTCCAGAGATTGGCACCATAAATCCAACTTGCCATTAAGTTCCTCTCGTGTCTCATGATCTCATCAATCCGTACAATGTCATTAGCAAAAAGCATGTATCATGGGACCTCCCCATGGATACCCCTTGGATACCTTGTGACAGGACATACATAACCAAAGCAAAGAGGAGAAAACTAAGGGCAGACCCTGGTGTAACCTTATATCTACAGAGAAAGGCTCATAACCCCCTACAGTCTTCACCGTAGTTCTTGCCCCCAACATGCATATCTGTGACTAAACGAATGTACGCATTTGGAAGCCTTCTAAACTCAAGATACCTCCACAAGACCTCCCTTGGCACCCTAGGCGTTTTTGAGATCAATAAACACCATATGTAGATCCTTCTTCTTCACACTATACTCTTTCATCAACCTCCGCAAAAGGTGAATAGCCTTGGTAGTGATCGATCAGGCATGAAACCAAATTGGTTTTTAAAAAATGCACCCCCCTTCTGGTGTCATGGATTCGTACATGGTTTTACATGAGTTTTATCACTTTATGGTGTCATGGATTCGTACACACACATCCCTCTTTAGTCTAATAACAAGGTTATGGTGATCAAAAGATAGCTTAAAACCCATAGTAAAATGCTCTATGAATTACTTTGCAAATTTCAATTTTGCATTTTACGAGTTGCGAAAAGTATCTTTCTTTACATTTGCATCCTGATACATGACAATTTTATTTAATTGTCAACTATTTTTATAGTGATCGGTTTTGTTTAGAGGTAGCAAACAAGTCGGTCAGGTAGGGTTTTAGTTTCGAGATTGGTACTATTAGATTCGGGGTGAGAAATGCTTGTTCAAGACATAGCCTGTTCGGATTTGGGTCAACCCAATAGTTATTACTCCCTCTGTCCCACTTTTGTTGTCTCTTTTTTACCTTTTTAAATTTCCCACTATTTTCGTCTCATACCATATAATTGTGTGGTTCATATTCATTTTTATTTTATCTTATTTTTTAACATTAATATCAACCACACAATCTTAGTTTTTTAAAGAGTAAATTCCATAAAAGGTCCCTAGTTATAGACCGTTTTACATATTTAGTCCCTACATATCAAATATTACTAATTTAGTCCCCGATTATTATATTCATTTCCACGAATGGTCCTTTGTTAACATTTCCGTTAAGAACGTGAATAAAATTGTAAATTCACACTTCTTTCTCTCATCAATTAAGCTTCCTCCCTCCCCTCGCACTCCTTTCTCAAACCTGTCGCTGAGTTTGAAGCTTTGAACCCAAACCCGAAATCATCACCAGTTGTTTGTCTAACTTGTAGAACCCAAATTCGAAACGAGTAACCTTCATGGATGAGTTTTAATGTTTATTTTCTTTGCAATTTCTTGAGACTAACTGATAAAACTCATCCATAAAGCTTATTGGTTTTGATTTTAAGTTCCACCAGGAAGACTAATAATTGAGAGAGGAATGATCATTTCAGTTTTGGGTTTAGAGCTTCAAACTCAGCGACGAGTTAGGGAAAGAGTACGAGAGGAGGGAGAAAGCTTAATTGAGGAGATAGAGGAGTTTGAATTTACAATTTTATCAACGTTCTTAACGGAAATGTTAACAAAGGACCATTCGTGGAAATGAATATAATAATTGGGAATTAAATTAGTAATATTTGATATGTAGGGACTAAATATGTAAAACGACCTAAAACTGGGGACCTTTTATGGAATTTACTCTTTTTTAAATTTTCAAAAATAGTGGACGAAGGGAGTATAAAGTTTTATTTTGCAATTGTAACTAGTTTTAGATTCATACTCTGTACTATAATACTATAAATAGAATACAACTTTCGGATTAAAAAAGTAGGGTGTGTGTACGTGGACCTTACCCCTACTCGAAAGTGGAGAGGCTGTTTTCAAATGCACTAAAATAACAATGAAAGGTTATTATTCACTTGTGTATTCTGTTTATATTAGTGTGGGCGGGTCTTCTTTGTATGAGTTTATCGATGTTTTATTTACAAGATACCGATGTATTCTAGTGTTTATATTACATTGTGTTGCTTAGTTTTAAGACTTAGTGTTCTTTTTATTCCAGCCTATCTTGTTTTTTACATCTCATTCATAGTGGCTTAAAAAAGTTTTCTTTGTATCCTTCTATGCATTGATTTCAGGGTTTTGTAACGGCTGTAAGCCACATGCGATCATTTGTTCCTGCAATTTATGAAATGACAGTAGCCATTCCTAGGAGTTCTCCACAACCCACAATGCTACGGATGTTCATGGGGCAATCCTCTGTGGTAAGACAATCTAATCAGATGCTAGATGCTGTCTTTAAATCTTTTCCGTTTCTGAAGAGATGAGACTCCACATTTCAAATATATTCCAAGCAATCTTACCCACCGTTGGTTCATCTAATGGACTACTGAAAGAGATAATTTTGTACATGGAACTGCTTAATTTTCGATTCTACGGAGTATTGGTTATGTGCATTCAGGCCTGTCTCAATGCTATTTTACTATCCAAGTTGAAGTAATGGAAAAGTCCCCCAAATAAAAATCTAGAGTAAATTCCACAAGTGGTCCCTAATCACAGGTGGTTTTCCGTATTTAGTCCCCAATTTTAAGATATTACATAAATGGTCCTTAAATTTTGAAAACTATTTCATAAAATATTGCGTGTGCCTAAAATACAACAAGCCATAAATCATAGGGTCCCTGGTGACAGTCCATGTCCTGCCTATCTATGAAGGAAATAGTTGTCTACACTATTTCTTTCCTAAAAGGCTAGAAAATATGATGTCATACAGCATTGAAGCCCATCACCAACAATTTTGAAGTTGGGAATCATCCTACCGATTATGTTTAATTTTGTCTTTGACTTAATTTTGTAATATAACTCTGTTATTGTTATTGTTATTATTATACCAAATGGGTGCAGGTTCATGTTCACCTCAAGCGACACCTAATGACGGATCTGCCAGAAGATGATGAAGCTGTTGCACAGTGGTGTAAAGATGTTTTTGTTGCAAAGGTTTGGCCCTCCTTCAATCTATCATTGATTTCCCTGGAACTACATTAGCACGGGAGTTAATGTAACAACGTTAACATCTGAAACAACAAACAGGATAATTTATTGGACAAACACAATGCTGAAGACACGTTTGGCCCAGAACTGGAGCAAGATCTTGGCCGGCCTGTCAAATCCCTTGTGGTAATATACACATACTGACCCTCTCACAGATCTTGTGTAAAAACTGTCCAGATTCTATGTACACAAGTTGCTGACTATGTTGAGATCTTCTCTATGATATAACAGGTGGTTGTGTCATGGTCATGCCTGCTAATTCTTGGGGCAATAAAATGTGTCCAATCTTCAGAACTTCTGTCATCATGGAAGGGCATTTCTATCTCAGCAGCTCTGCTGCTCGTCGTTACCATTCTCATGCAAATACTGATCAGATTCTCTCAAGCAGAACACTCAACGCCTGCAAGAGTTGCACCCGCAAATCCCAACAACCGGAATCGGGTTGCAGATATTAGACAAGCAAAAGATAAGTGATTTTTATTTATTATTTCATCTTTCTGATAGTGATGACCCCCCCCCCCCCCTCCTCCTCATCTCCCTGGCTAGAACAAGGTTTGTATGTGTATTATGTAACTTATTATTACAAGTATTGTTTGTTGTGCGGAGTTGCTTTTATGTGATAGATATATGACAAAACTTTTTTCAGTTTTGAACTTCTGTGCTATTATGCATTTTTCACATACAATTCTCACCTCACATAAATTCTTCTGCATTTCCCTTTATGCCTTCTGGATATATAGCAGCCATCATATAGAGCACTTCCCTCAAATCGTAAATAGATTTTGGGGCCGGTCGTTTGAGCTGCAGTTTGTTACGGTGTATAATTGATGCTATGAGGTACGTCGAGAAATATTAATGATCCCATTGAAAATAGTGTATTTCAATTAGCGTTAGAAATTTGGATAGTTTTTTAACGGTACCTTTAAAAAGAAACTAAAGCAAAACGCTATTGTTGGTTAACTTTTCTAAAAAGCTAAAAGCGTTTATGCCAAGACAAGCCTACATTTTGAGTGGCGGTTGTGATGGTTCAAACTATACACATAAGGATATTTAGAGCATGCTCTTGTTTTTTTAATCTGATTTGCTTTGGTTTCAATAAACAGTACAATGTGTATTATTTCAAAAGTGTGGTAACTTTTGTTTATTTTTGGTATTTAGAATTTTTGATGTAGTTTTTAAATATGCACGCTTGTTTTTTATTTTTATACTAATTTTTAATTAAAATGCATGGGAAAACTTGAGATTTATCTTTGTTTTAAATAATTTAAAATCTATGATGGGAGGGAGAGAATAAGGAATAAGTACACATTATAAAAATAAGTGGAAGAGAATATTTTTTTATACTTTAAAAGTGTCAGGCAATAAGTTTTATTAGTACATTCATTTCTTAATCATTTTGCTATCCAATAAGTCTTCTGCAATATTGAACGGCATTAGATTTAGCTTAGGCCAGCTGCCAACCTCTTGCGATTGCGAGTTGCGACCAACCATCTGGGTTCGTCGATTCTTGTTACTCTCTTTGTTTTATACTCTCCATCCCAATTTAAATCGTCTGTTTTGATTTATGATGTTTTCTTGAATTTATTTTTCAAATCATTTTATATAAAAAAGGCGTAAAATTAAAGAATAGAAAGAACATATTTAAAACATGTATCAAAAGATTTACAAAACTAGTGGTGACATGATTATCTTGTTTTATCAAATGACTAACAAAATAGAAAAAAAGGTGACTAAAGTTTGATCCTATGAATATTGAAAAGACAATTTAATTTGAAACGGAGGGAGTATTATCTTTTTTCCCATTTTGAATTTTGTGATCATTTTTTTAACTTTGACCATGAAGTGTTAATAGAATATATTAAATTATGAAATAGATTTAATATCAATAGAATTACTTCAACAGGTAGGTTTTGAAATATTAAGTTTTTATAATCTCTGAATATATAAAAATAGAAAAATTAATGGTCAAAGTGTTACATTGAACATTGTAAAAAAGACAATGCGTCAATGTCTCCATTTTTTTGGGCTTGAACATTGATAAACTTTATCATAAATCTTAGAGGTGGATTTCCTACCATTCAAGCCAAGAGATGAGTACGTACGGTTCTCCATCCCCATTTTATTGTTCTCTTTTTAAAAAAATGAGTATAAAATGTCAAGTAATTCGTTCAAATAAGTTTATGTCAATAGTATTCCTATTTCTAGCATATCTTTAATATATTTTAAGTACATTCAAAAACAATAATTCAAAATGATTTTATAACCACAATAATTCAAAATTATTTTTTAACCAATATAAAAAAAGTTAATAACTGATTCAAACAAATTAGAATATGTGTAACAAATGGGGTCAAGCCAAACAAACTTGGACACAAATGGAAAGTTTTCGGGCGGCAGGCTATACCTACCTGAAAAGGAATCCAAATCATTGGTTCATTTTATTTATGTTTCCAAACACCCATTATATTTGCTTGTATCGTATGCTAATGAATTACGACTCCACAAATGAAAGCAAAATGTGACAACACCCCTGTGACAAGGAAATTAAAGTTAGGCTCCTTTCCTTCAACTTATTTTTTATCATCTCATTTTTTGTAATTCTAATCTAATATGATCCTGTCTAATCATATCAAATCTGATCTAATTGGATCTGATCTGATTAATTATGATTTGATTTAAAATTCAAACCAATAATTTTATTTAAAAATTGTAATGATAATTCATAATATAATATAATCAATATTTTTTATTTTATGATTATTTTTTAATGAAATAAAATTAGTTAATTCATATATTAGAATAATCATTCATATTATAGTGTAATACGGAGTAATATTTTTTATTTTATGATTATTTTTTTATAAAATAAGAATATTGATTTAATATTTTAATAATTAGTTCATATATGTTGGGATTTTAAGCGCGTAAGATACCAAAAAATATTGAGAACACCAGAAAAATGAGAGAACAAACACAAGGAGAATATATGAGAGAAATTATATATTCACTATTTCAGAACGATACACAAAAAAACTCTCCCTGTTTACAAGTGCTAAATACCACACACTTATAAATAGACTTTTCACGCCCTACACCCGGATGTATTTTTCCGAGTAACTAAATAATAGTTACTCTCTACACTCACTCACACAATGTTGGTGATATTTTGTGTAGACCTCTCTCTTAACCTTCCTCTTTTTTTTTCTTCACTTTCAACGGTATTGTTGCATGGCTTTTAAATAGCCAAATACACAATAGTGGGGAATATTCTAGCTCAAACCTCCAAGAGAAAGAAAACAAAACTCCTAAAGGCTCTCCTGCAACTCACTTCTTAGTTGTTTCCACCAAGCTACATTTATTTTTTTTCTTTTTTTGTTTCAATTGGTTAATCAAAATATCTCAACAAACTCCACCTTGATTAAATAATAAAACTTGGTATGGCTCCACCTCGCTCGTTCCGGCGAGGTCACAGTTTCCACCAACTGGAGAAGCTTCAAACGTCACCCGCTTCTTCCATGCAAATGTTACGCTTGTTGCACTTGTGATTTTTCCTTCTGACAGCGTCTGTGTCAAATCTTTTTCTACAAGTTTATACAAGCCCTTTGACAAAACTCCTTTTGGTACCACCATTGCTCCCTTAGAAATTTTTAACACTCCACCTTGAGCAAAAATTCGGCAGCCTTCTAAATCTAAAGCCCCCAATGAAATCAAATTTCCTTTTAGACCCGCTACATGTTTCACTCCAGTTAATGTTCTCACCACGCCATCAAACATGCGAACTTGCACTGTTCCGACCCCTGCAATCTTGCTCCGTGCACCATTTGCCATCTTCACAGCACCCCCATCACAATTTTGATACGTATCAAACTTTTCCTTAATTGAACACATGTGAAACGAACAACCCGAATCTAATATCCAATCCGATTTACCTAGACTCTTTGCGGTTGCCAAAAACAAGTCTTCTTCACTTTCTTGGTGTGAACTTTCTGCAACCGCAGTCACGGGTGTTTTCTCGTCCTTCTTTTCCTTCCTCCTCTTTGGACAATCTCTTTTGAAATGACCCTGTTCATCGCAATAGTAACACCGAAAGCTTTTACTACTCTATTTGAAACGTTGGGACACACCGCCCCTCTCTTTAGAACGTCCTCGTTCCCGACCAACTCCTTTTGCTACCAAAGCTTGACCACCATTTGATACCCCATTGCCACCTCACCGAGTCTCGTTCATCAACAACGCAGCAACTACTTCATCAAATTTTAAGGTCTCTTTTCCAAACAAGAGCGTGGTCACGATGTTGTCAAAAGATGAAGGCAATGAAGCCAACAAAAGTAGCACCTTGTCCTCCTCTTCAATCTTGACATCAATGAATTCCAACTCTGTTGTAATCTTGTTGAATTCATCCAAGTGTCCATTAAAGTGAGCTTCCTCCGCCATTTGGAGACCAAACAATCGTTTCTTCAAGTATAGCCTACTTGTCAACGATTTCGACTTGTACCGGCTCTCCAGCTTGTCCCAAATATTCACCGGGTCCGTCAAACCAAGAACCTCCCGAAGAGTATTATTTGCAAGGCATAGGCATATTGTATTTGTTTCCATGTCCTTCAAATCCTCTCACTCTTCTTCCGACAATTTTTCAGGTCTGTCGTTCTTCCGGTGTTTGGCCCACTCAGCATCCGTCATTTTTTCTATCCTCTGAACCTTCACCTTCAAAGCTTTGATTGTCCCTTCCCGAGTAAGAACACTTTTTACTCGTTGTTGCCACAGAGTAAAATCGCCATATCCATCGAAAGGTTCGACGGAAACATTCGAACTTTTTACCGATGCCATTTTTCAAGTTCTTCGACTTTCTTCTCTTACCGCTTAGAAATCCCTCCGCCCCAAATGTAACTTGGCTCTGATACCAATTGTTGAGATTTTAAGCGCGTAAGATACCGAAAATTATTGAGAACACCAGAAAAATGAGAGAACAAACACAAGGAGAATATATGAGAGAAATTATATATTCACTATTTCAGAACGATACACAAAAAACTCTCCCTGTTTACAAGTGCTAAATACCACACACTTATAAACAGACTTTTCACACCCTACACCCAGTGGCGGAGCCAGGTATTGGGGAGAGTGGGGTCAAACTATAAATAAAAAAATTATAAAGGAATAGTTTATCAAAAATTTATCATACAAGGAGGGGGGAGGGGTTCGAACTCAGGGTCTAGTGGCTGATTTCCAGGTCTTGAACCAAATCAGCTAAGCCAAATATTAAGTAAACTACTATATATGTATAAACTTATCCAATTTCAGTGGGTGCAACTGCAGTCATTTGACCCAATGTGGCTCCGCCACTGCCTACACCCGGATGTATTTTTCCGAGTAACTAAATAATAGTTACTCTCTACACTCACTCACACAATGTTGGTGATATTTTGTGTAGACCTCTCTCTTAACCTTCCTCTTTTTTTTTCTTCCCTTTCAACGGTATTGTTGCATGGCTTTTAAATAGCCAAATACATAATAGTGGGGAATATTCTAGCTCACACTTCCAAGAGAAAGAAAACAAAACTCCTATAGGCTCTCCCGCAACTAGGGGTGGACACGGTACGGTTCCGGGACGGTTCCGGTTCCGGAACCGCCGGTTCCGGTACCGCCACCCCGAGTAACCGGATAGTATACCGTGCCGGCCGGTACTGGTTCCGGTTCCCGGACCGGCGGTTCCGGT